TTTTCTTTCTGCACGCGTTTGCTATCGAATTGCTTTACCTCTGAGTGATCCTCCCCTATACTTATCTGCCAAAATAATAAGAAGAAGAATAAAAATGATAATGATAATGATAATGATAATAATAATAATAAACAATAATAATAATAATAATAATAATAATAATAATAATAATAATAATAATAATAATAACAATAATAACAATAGTCGTAAAAAGTAAATGCAAGTAATATAAGTGTACACAATATACAAAAGATCCGAGTAACTGTTGTGCAACCACACAGGTATCCAAGTAGTCGTGTATAAGCAGAGAGCAAGATCACATCGAGGATCCGAACAACACAGGGAAGTAATGAGCCAATATTCAGGCCCTCAGTCCACGCCACATAATGCCTAAAGTTGCTTCTCCCTGTCTTGGCACCCAGCGCCTTTACCAACTGCACTCGTTTATCCCACCTACAACTGCGTGCACTCTATACAGTCTCTTTGACTCTTTGAAGAACAATGTACATGATGTAAACTCCATAGCCGACCTCCATTCATGCATCAGGTACGTATCTCGTCACCCTCGTCAAACCTTGATACCCCACATTCTCATCTCCTCCCTGAAAAACCATCGGTCACCCGTTTTTACCTTGGATACTCAGATCATGTGATGTCTGGTTGGGTCCCCTTGAGGGCTCGTCCCTGATAATAATAATAATAATAATAATAATAATAATAATAATAATAATAATAATAATAATAATAATAATAATAATTATAATAATAATAATAATAATTACTAATAAGTATCTGATGATAATAATAATTAATAAGATAACGCATCTGTAATAGGTACAATTCTCTCTTTCTCACACACACACACACACGCATTCCATCGATAGGATGAGCAAAAGATGGAATGAATCTTCCGTTGAAACGCGGAAATATACACCCCTACTTTTCGGTTCGCTCACGCCATCGATCTAAGTACTGTGCGACGATGCATGGGTTGGAGACTTTGCTATCTCATACACACACACATACGCACTCCCTCACACAAACACACTCACACACTCACACACACACACTTACATACACACATACGCACACATACACTCTATCGATAGGATGAGCAAAAACGGAATGAATCTTCCGCTGAAACTTGGAAATATACACTCCCACTTCTTGATTTGCTCATTCTATCGAATCGAGTGGCGTGTGGCGATGCACGGGGTGGAGACTTAGCTATCGGCCAAGGTTGGAGACTTATCGTCTCTCTCTCTCTTCCACACTCTCGTAGCGATATCTCCAGCGCAACAGGTACGTAGTAACCCAATCTTGTATCGCTCAACCTTCCGTTCTCTCCTCTCTCTTGCTTCTCTCTCTCTCTCTCTCTGTCTCTCTCCCTACATCCTGTTGCACACCATAAAAGGTGCAGACTAGAACAAGAATCGACCTCTCAATACAAAGTACAAGATAGTGTAGCGAAAGACTTAGATACCAACGATCCGAACGATCGATATCGCAGCGCGGCCCCAACATCATCATCGTCACACGGTGTGAAGGGGTCTGGCGTCGTATGCAGGAAGAAAGCGCTAGGCCAGATATGCACAGAGAGAGATAGGAATTTCATCAACACCTACCGTCTTAACTCGAAAACAAGGTACGTACCTTGTATTCAAGTTACCTTCGAAAAATGGGCTCTAAAAAATCGCTGTTAAATTTTCGAATAGAAGGTACCCTCGAATACAATGTACGTACCTTCTATTCGAATACAAGGTACGTACCTTCTATTCGAATACAAGGTACGTACCTTCTATTCGAATACAAGGTACGTACCTTGTATTCGAGGTTTGCCTTGTAACTGTCACGTCATTCCCTCTCTCTCTCTCTCTCAGAGTCTCTCTCTCTCTCTCTCTCTTTCTCTCTCTCTCAGAGTCTCTCTCTCTCTCTCTCTCTCTCTCTCTCTCTCTCTCTCTCTCTC